CTTCCTCAGTGCCTGAGAGCGAGAAAAGGTTGCCGAGTTTGCCGGCAAGGGAGACTGTCAATACCGTAAGTGGGCGATCGCAACATCTTACAGTATACAGCTCGGTGAGGTGAGCGTTCTGCGATACTATCGTATACCAAACCCTCACGCATTTAAAAATACCAGGATTTAAACTGTTTGAATTATTTAGTTGATGAGCAGGGGGGTTTCCTGTCAGAAAATTTGGTGCTCTCGAACCGGTTATCCATTGCTTCGATACCACCAAATTTTCTGAAGGGTTTCCTTTCAGAAAATTTGGTGCTATCGAACCACTGCGTTTTCCGACAGTGAGGACGGTTAGGTAGCTCCAAATTTTCTGAAGGGTGTCCTCTCAGACAATTTGGTGCTATCGAACCGCTGCCAGTCAGGACAGCCCAAGGCACCAAATTTTCGGACAGGTTTCCTTTCAGAAAATTTGCTGCTATCGAACCGCTGCGCTGCTGCGTTATCCATTCCAAACACTGGCAACAAAAAGGGGCGGTTCGATAGCGCCAAATTTTCGGAAGGGTCTTCTTTCAGAAAATCTGGTACTATCGAACAGCTGCGTTTTCCGACAATTTTCTGCAGGGTTTCCTTTCAGAAAGTTTTGTTGCTGTCGAACCGCTGCGCTGCTGTGTTATCCAAATACTGGCAACAAACAGGGGCGGTTCGATAGCACCCAGGGTGGGAACATGTTCCTGGAGTGCTTCGGGTATCTTGCTTGGGTGGATATCGCTCGAACACAACAGTGAGTCTCATGCGCAGTGCTTTCACGTGAGGAAGACCATTTGTTGGACCAGCTGGCAACATGTTGCCCACTCCCGCGACTGCAACTTTGTCTTGGCGCCGATTTGCCATTTCGTAGCAACACGACGAATCGGACACATGTGTGGCCGGAAGTATCGGTCGATGATCTTCGTACTCCGGTGTCCTATTCCATGGAGTCCGGCTCATGCCGCTTAAATCCCCAAACCTGCAGCGGTCTTCGTGATTGAGGACTTGCGTATGTATTCTCTGCATTCTTGTCGTGCTTATGCAACTGTCGCACATGTAAATAATTATAGGTCCCACAAGACGACAGCGAAACGATGCATGGGCAATATAGTAATTATTGCCGTTTATGCCAGAGGATGCAGCCGGCGGGCAGGGCAAGGATGGGGACGTGCGGGGAGGGTCCAGGATCTTCCTGGTCAGCTTGCCACGGACGTAGCTGCTTCTGTCGGCGACATAACATGCCTCATGCAGCTGCAGCAGACGTGCTGCTGGGCGGATGAACTGTTGGTGCAGCCGACAACCTGGGCAGCCAGGCGTACGGGGATCATTGTCCCGGCTGCCGTTCGACAAGGCTGGCTGTCAAAGACTTCCCGACTGGCGTGTGCAATGCACACTTCCCGCACCATGGCTCCTCAGTGGCCTGTTGCTCAACGAACCATGGTATTATATCGGAGACGGTCATGACTCTGTGGCGAAGTACCGCGGGAGTGCTCGCACCTATACTCAGCGATGAAGACATTCCGGATCGGTGCGTCGGAAGTGCTGCGGACACCAGTGACAGATGCTGTGCTTGTGTGAGCTGAACAATTTACAGACCACGTGAAGCAGCAGTTGCTGAGAGGTCTTACTTGCCTCAGACTCATGTGAACAGCGCTCGATTATTGCAAATTCAGTGGCAGGACCGTCTGGAAGTGTTGCTGGACGGTCACACGGTGGGAGTCCTGCAGCTGGAACCTGGTGGCGTCTTTCCCAAACGTGTTTCCTCTAGGAACATGCAGTCATGGTCTGAGGGAGACGGTGCTGGACAGGAACATCTGGCTGGGCAGTTATGTCCAAATCACATCCCCGATGTGCCTCACCTTCCGGCAAAGCTCTTGCTTTTCTGCTCTTCATGCAGTCTTTCTTGTCCACCTGAATTCCTTACTGGACCGTAAACTCTGGCTGCAGGGAAGGGGTGAACACATCTGAATGGGGTATATGGAAAGCATTCGCGCCCCACAGCCATTTTGTGTTGGCGCTCAGTCTGTGAGGTTGGGTTGCAGCGTGCCCAGGGAACTGCGTTATCTGGCATTGGCGCTGCGGAAAGCAGAGCATCGCAGCACACCAGAAATGCTTTTCAAGAAGCCGCTCACAGTTGGAGAGATTCAGCTCCGTCTTGGCGATGGAAAGCGTGTCCGTGTCCCTTCGATCGATAAGATGGATGCAAGTCGAGAATACCTGGAACCACGTCTTCGAGTTTCGCTGGCAAGGTTCACAGCTTCAGCTTTTCTTCGGCAACAACCATATCGTTACTGTTCTTCTGGGCAGGCAGCAGCGGGTGGAGCCATGGTCTCGCGCTGCCGCCATGTGCGTCGCTGTGTCCCCAAGAATTTCAGATGAGGATTCTGCCGTTCCAATATCATGCATCTTTCGAAGAGCGTGCGTGTGCTGCGGAACGTGTCAGCGTTGGTTCTGCGCAGGACACGGCAGCGCAGAGGCGGACATGTGTCTGAGCTGTGTGCCGGAGGCCTTCCTGGAGGATCGCTTGGCCGGCTAGTCGCAGCTTGCTGCAGAGGCAGCAATGGTGCGGGAGGCCACAACGAGGCTCATAGAAGAGCGTCGTCTGCAGGCGCTACGACGACTGTGTATGAGCTTTACCGGTGACTTCTCCAGAAGAGATAGAAGACATTGTTTATCTATGCGCAGAAAGCCGCTCCCTAGCTTCGTTGGATTGTACTTCTGTAGCCGAAGACGTCCACCGCGCACTGGATGAAGCTGTGACAGCCTGCGGCTGCACGATTTTTCGAGATCAGTAAATAAGCACGGCTCCTTGGGCTGGTGGAACTACGATGACGGCTACGAGCCCACCGAGGTCGGCGATGCGATTCTGGAGACCGTGAAGTACCTGCTTCAGGCGGCAGGCTTATCAGCCGAGGAGAAGAGTAGCAGCTGCTTTGCAGGAGCATATTCCGATGGAGCCTTTACTGGAGTTAATCGAAACTCCCTACGAAACACGGAACTGTCACTATACATAAACGCTTATCTGAAGCATTGGCTACCTCAGCGGCAGTGCAGCGGCATGGCGATGCGCCTCACCGACAACCGCAGCTGCAAGGGCACCGTCAACATTCTACACGGACTTGGACGCCTTTGATTGAAAGGAGAACCTGGTGGATTTTCCGTTGTACGGTGATTTTCCGTTGTACGACGTCACTTCCACCGAGGCTACGTGATACCCACAAGGCACCGGTTCGTGACCTTGTCTCCTGAGGTGATGCACACCACCCAAGCATGGCGGGGCCAACGATTGGCTTTGACGGCGTTCACTACTCGACTGGCTCCTACGCTGGCCAAGGACGGTTGGTTGGCTCTTGAAAGACTGGGCTACCCCCTTCCCAGTCACTGCGAGTTTCCTTGAGATTTCGTTGAAAGGCCTGAGATCAAGAACGAACTCAAGGAACTTTCCAGCGACTACAACGACTTCTACCGAGGATCCTGGTGCTTTGTCAGATGAAGTCAACCTCAGCGATTCACGTGGAGAATTTGGACCAAGACCCATGAAGTACTACCACACCAAGAAGCCGATGACAACCGTAGGACCAGTCCTCCACATGGCGAACTTTGTCGGACATCCTGCCCAACCGCGAATATGTGGACCTCACTGACCAGACCCCGGACGAGAATGAGGTTGAACTACCTGATCTACCACAATTCCTGACAAGGGACCTTTGGTGCAACCTACGCGCAGGGTTTCGACTACGTTGACGACTTCAGCTACGACGTCAACTACCAACCAAGAGTCCTGGAGGGCGATGAACAAACCCTTGGCACCGATGGACCTACTCCGAGCACAACTCGGACTTTGAAGGAACTTGTGAACTCCTACGACGACCCCGAGGCCAAACGACGAAAGACGCAGCCAACATGGGTCGATGAGCTCTACATGGAAGGGTCGAATCCGCAGGATACCATCGACATCTTCACGGCCTTCCAAGAGACCGAAGCCTTCATGAAAGTCGAGTTTGACTTTCCGGCGCCCGAGTCCAACCGCCAGCGCAAGCTGCCAGAAAGAAGCCCTAACCACTACCTTGTCAAGAAGATGAAAGACTCCGAGGCTACTTTATCCCGGCTGTCCGAGAACCCGCGCCAAGATGAAGGAAGTGGATTCCTTTATCAGGTAGCTTGAGAGAAGCTCATAAAGTCCCAAGTACCTATACTTGACAAGAGCTTGAAGTACTAGAAAGCGTACGTTGTGCCGGATCATCGCATGGCAGAAAAACTTGAAATCGACAAGAACCCCCAAGAAAAAAATCACAGTCAGTAATTCTGTACTCGGAAGACCCATAAAAAGGGAAAATGGTAAGCATTAGTGATGTGCAAACAGGCTCCTAACCGTAAAAACTTCCCTGAAGAGTACGAAATTCTCTTCCAAAGACGCACAACGTATTGGAAAAGGACTCAGTAGAAGCTCAGGCCTTGAAAGGCTTAGGCGAGAAATTTGCACATCCAAACCGTGAAACCTGCGAAATAGCAGGAGTCAGCCATGTTTAGGGCTGTGCCTGTTTAGTTTGTGAGACATGCTTAAGAACATGTTTGAGGCTGTACTTGCTCAGATGTGTTTCAAGTGCTAGTACCGCATCATGGGGCAGCTGTCTGTGACATCCTGAACAAACAAAATAGCACCAACGAAAACCTCGATGGTACTCATTGGTGCTAAATCAGCACGCCAAATGCGAAGTGGCTGCCAACCAATAGATTCGGCTGCGAAGATCTTTCAAAGTGTATGTGCGTGTGCAGTTGCGATTTCAGTTGACGTCCGAGATCTGCTCGTCCCATCACATGCAGTCTGCTTTTTAAGTGCCGTTATGAGGAAGCCATGCATCAGTGATGTTGCGAGCGCGGGGGCGGTTTGCCTGTTTTCTGCCTCCGTCGTGCCCTCTTGCCAAAGGAGTACTTCTTAAGTGTTAAGGAGGCGTCAGAGGCAGAGGCGTGCTTTGCAGAGTTTCCAGGTCCGGGCCTCGGCCGAGGAGGCGGCGAAGCTGGCAGCCGACAGTTCCAAGATGGTCGTCGAGACGGAAAGCCAGGGCCTCCGAGTGTGCGACGAGTCGTTGATCAAGACGATCTAGTTAGATGTACGATGGCACCATGACAGCAATGCTGTGCCTGTGTCGTTCTGGCAGCTGCTTATGGTCGGGTGACTACGTTCCTGCGCATGCGACCGCGACCGCGGTCATGATTCATGACCAAGACACGGAGATGAAAATTGTGGTGATGGTCACGAGGTTTGTCTTGATTTGGATAATGATGAAGAGCTTAAAGTTTAAAGACAAATACGGACATGAAGACGGCGAGCTGTCAACTTCAGAACTGTTGCCTTGGTGCGGGTTTGATTTCTGAGGCCTAAAGCAGCTCGCCGGGGAGCTCGGAGAGATTCCGAGAGCGACGGCGCCGACCGCGCGGCTCAGGAGCAGGCTTTGTCCGAGAAGACTTCGGAGATCTCCCAGGTGCAAAGAGCCGATGGGGCAGCAAAGGTGGCCCCACCGAATATGCTCAGGTCAAGGAGGAGCTGGTGTCCATGAAGGAGGCTTCCTCAAAGCAGCAGGACGGCACTTCGCGAGCCGAAAGTGGAAACAAGATCCCCGGACCCGGAACACAGGAGCAGCTCCAGGATGCGGAAAGCCAGGACCCGAGAGGGCCCCCAAGTTGGGGGCAAGGGCAGCAGCCTCGCATGGAGCGTTGAAAGGTCGGTATCAGAACTTGCTGAAGAGCACGGCCATGCAGCAAGCTCCCAAGAACCACGTATCGACGCTCCGCAGCTCTGCTCAGCTCTGCTCTTTGCCCGGCAGGTCCATCGCCGGCTTACCGAGTGCTGCGGGCGCCCAGCCCAAGGCAGCGGCGAAGGCGACGGGGCCAAGGCCGGCGCTGTCGTGGCAGCGCTCTCAGAGCGCGTCTCGCCTGAGCCCGCAGGCGACCGCAAGGCGGTCAGCGGAACGTCTTCATCCAATTGGCGGGGGCCCAGTCCTCCGGAAAGACGTCGTTGCCAGGGCCTAAGGCCCAGGCACTGCCCAGGCACCCTGCAGGCCCTGCAGGCCCTGCAGGCCCCCAGGCGCACCCGCAACCGCGCTCGCAGGTTGGAGGCTCTCATCGCCGAGCACGTCTGCGCCCAAGCTGCCCCCCATCTCTCTCGTTGCGAATTGGAGAACGAGGACCCACAGCAGTTGCCAAAGTTCAACGAGCAGAAGTCGAATTTCATGGCGCACCACCAGATTCAGGCCTTTCCCAACAGACTGGGTTGGTGGTCAAGCTCATGAAGCCACCCAGCCATCGCTGGTGCAGACTGCGATAACTGCGGGAAATGGGAGAATCTCAGATCTACTACGATCTTCCGCTCTCAGCTTTGTTTGACGTGAGCTAGGTTGCTCCCTTTTGGATCCGGACTCCACATGTTCTGGTACCCTGCGCATTTCTATCGTAATCCTGACCGGTTCGTAATCCTGACCGGTCATGCTGTTTCTATATCCTGGCTGTCGCAACGACCCCCAGCCTGGCATGAGTCTTCCTCTTGTCCAAAACTTGTCATGCGTCTTGGAATGGTCCCAGCTGTCCCAGCCTCCGAGACGAGGTTTAGGAAAGTCTTCCTTAATCATGCAGCATGCAGGATTATGACGAGGATTGAACTTGTGGAATGGATGTGCAGGTTTAATGCCGTAGCACTTGTAGGTTTCCAATGTCCAATATGGTGAGCTCCTGTTGAAAGCTGTAGGACCTCAGAGCTTGAGGCGCGAAACGAAAGACTGCAAACTGAAACCAAGTCATCAGCGGGAACTTCACCTCTTCCAACGCTGTTTGCATTCCCAGCGCAGGCTGTACATTTGTTAACCGAATTCCAGCCTAAGATTTTCAAATATTGATGAGGTGGAACGCCGAATTTCCTGCGGGGTAGCTGGGATATTCTGGAGATAGCAGGTCGGTGGGTGCGTAGTCGGATACCATGATGGATGCTTCTCGCACTTCAGGTGGGAGACAAGCCCGTTAAGATGTTGGACTGCTCGGGCAATTCACGTGTTCCTCTGCAGCATGCAGAAACTGATCGTGCACGAGCATCGGAGAATCGTGCAAAAGTTGCGCGTTGCGCCACGCCCGAGGCAGCACATTTGGTCAAGGAGCGCTTTGCCCGCTCCACGTGGGTCTTCATCGTTTATGACTTGCCGACGGCCTAGTATAAAGTACAGTGGTGCTTCAACGCAGTGCAAGAGTGCAAGACAGTGTGCAAAGGTCGAAGAAGGAGTCCTTAGAGCATGCTCTCGCTCTGACACAAGAGGTCGGGGCGGTCGGGGCGGTCGGGGCGGGCCGGCCGCCGGCACTAAGTCGTTTGGGGTCTGTCAGACAGGTGCATGCAGCGGGTGCAAGGCCCTTGCTTTTCGGCAACAAGTGCGCCTGCTGTGGGCCTGTGGGCCAACTGGGATCTCAAACTCTCAAACTCCCGTGGGGCAAATTCGTTGAGGTACAATGTGGACAAAGGTGATCCCATTCAGGCGCCAAGCTGCTCTCAGCGGGGCCGGGGCGTCTTCAGCGCTTGGAGGTGGATGTTGCTGCCGCCAAAGATGCAGCGGTACGAAACGAAGGAGATTCATTCGCCTGCATCGACCTCCCAAGCGCAGTCTTATCGAGGAGCTGCGATGGAAAGCTCGAAGCTGATGGACGCTGTGCAGTTTGCCTTGAACAGCGAGGCTCCTGAGCCCGGCCCGGCTCAGCGCCCCGCAGCTCTTCGCACTCTCCGTGAAAAAAGAGACATGCCTGCCTGCAGGAGATGCTCGACAGCCAGGCGCTGGGCGGGAGAGGGACCGAGACAGCGTCAGTCTGACAGAGCTGTCACGGGTTTCACCTCTAAGTCATGTATCCCCACGAGAGCGCCCCCTGAGCGCGCTGCTCTGAGCGCGCTGCTCTGTGCAGATGGAGCCAATCTCTCCGGACGGTAAACGAAGCTTGGGCCTCGCAAGAGGGCCTGCCGGGCTCGTGGAAGAGCGCTGTTTCCGCTCTCCGCTCTGTTGTCAAGGTGCCATCAGCTCGGCCATCGACAGCGTGAAGAGTTGGTTCGGCGGAGAGCGGGCCAAGGGCCAGGGAGTCCTCAGGCCACACAGCACAGAGCGCTCGCACCCCCTTAACTTGTGCCGCTTTCGCAGGCCTTCCTTAAAGGGAACCAAGGCCATGAAGCAGGCACGAAGTGCCGACGCTGCAGCGAGACGAACTCGAACTCGTTTGCTGGGAGGGCTGGGGGGGATGTTGTAGGGAAGCTGCCAATGTTGGAGAGATCGTAGCTGGCTCTCTAACTTGCATTTTCCATGGTGAAGGCACGAAAAGAAGGCGACCCCAACGTGGACCTGCGTCCGGTTCAGGCGCGATGGGGGCGGAAGAAGAGTCCTCGGCTTGCTGTCTTTCCGAGCGCGCTCGTCTCCAGTCTCCATCCAAAGACGGCCGTAAAGTCGCAACTAAACAGACCGCCACATAAGTCGTTTTCTGAGCAAGTCCAGGCCTTTGCAAAGCTTATCACTTAGAGGAAGGTGAAGGAGAAGTCGCACGAGCTTTCCGTAGGAGAATCTGCGTGTGCGCTCTCCAGAACATGTCGTCAGCCGGCTGAAGGCCACTCCACTCTCCAAACGAGTGGGTGTGTGTTCTGGGTGCTGCTCCGCAACGTGTAAGCGAAATCTTGTTGCATGCGCCAAGAAGAGGTTCATAACAGGGAAAGTGCGCCTGCCGGAGTCCTCCACCCTGACAGCTTGAGCCGGCCGCTTGGGATGAAGTCCCCCAAGAGGCAAGGAGACACCCGAAACGACTCCAGGGCTTCAAGCAGAAACCTAACGCTTCCACCGCTGATGCTTTTCCTGACTCTTCCACAGCATAAACAACCTGCTCAAGCCCCTGAACAGGCTAAAGAACCCATTTGCTGGTGAAACCAAGGGCACGTTTCAGGGCACTTTAACCGTTCGCACATTGTGCGAATCAAGTTCAGGAGCTGCAAGATTCGGACTCGGCCCGGGGCCAAGTGGGCGCCGAGGGACTGAGCAAGAAGAGCTTTGGCAGCTGTCCCGCCAGGCCGTGACATGCATCTGCTTCGGCCAAGAGAGGCTGCACAAGGTGGGATCGAATTTCTTCAGGAAGAGTCTTTGAGCAGAGAGCACGGAGGCTTATGTTCTGCTGGCCACCGCCTCCAAGGCATCGTTGCTGTGCTGCACATGCCCCACATGCGCCACAGAACACAGGACGGGACCGTGGTGGTGTACCGCTGCTACCGCACTGAGATGGAGATCGCCGGAAGCCTGACAGCAGCTGTAACTTTGGAAGTGACACATGCCGTCTTTCAAGGCCATGCTGGACCATGACTTTGCTCCGGAAGAAGGTGCTTACTCCTCACCTCCTGCCGCCACTCGAAGCGCAACTTTTTGTGGGACCTGGCGGCGGCATTCCGTTCGCCATCGCACAGAGGACCACTCGAACATCGCGGTGCACTCCAGACTCGTGGGCCACTCTCGCAGGGAGCCTCAGACGCCGAGCCCATGGAGCGAGAGATGAGAGAACGACTTCTGCTCTTCTGCCAGGTGCCATCACCAGCATCTTCTTCAATTTGCTTGAAGATCAGCTAGTCACCACCTCCATCGACAAGCAGCCTCCCCGTGATCCAAGCTCTGTGCTCGCGCGTTCGCCGGGTCTCCAGTCAGGTCGGTGAGATTTTGGAGCATCGACAGTGGGGAAATGCTCAAAGTCTTCACGGACAGCTCGTCCACGACCAAAGCTCTACAGCTGGAGCAAGGCGCCCGGCGCCAGCGTCTTCTTTTCCTGAGGCCAGTGCCCGTAGCGGCCTTCCTTCCCTTCAACCCGCAGGTGGGAGGGCGGGCCTACAGTAGGATCTAGAGGGCCTAGTTGAGGAAGCGGAGTGGGTGAGGTTTTCGTCGCAGCCAATTCCAACGCAGTTCTCCGGCTGGTGAATGTTGGGCTCTCGGCTGCGCGGCTGCGCTGGATCCTACGCCGTCCTACGCTCTTGTCCGCTAGGTGCAGAACGGGATGGTCCTGCAGAAGCTCAAGGTGGGACGTCCCCGCTCTGCCGGCTCCGCTCCATTTCGTTGCAGCGCACTTCCCCAGGTGGAGACCGAGGTACGGGCACTGAAGTTCGACGACACGGGCCTCTTCCTTCTGGCAGGTCGGAGTCCAAGTCGCTGAAGGCTCCGTGTTTTCTGTTGATTCGTCGCACCTGACAAGGCACCAAAAGTGGCAGTATCCATGTGCTGGAGGCGCCGGAACTCTCCCAGCTCGCGAGTCCCTCTTAGATGTTCGCAGAGGCTTCGGACGCCAACACGCTGAAATTCAAGTTCAAGGTCAGTGGACATCATCTGCGACATGTCGGCATGTCGGACGCTGCTGAAACGATCTTGGTATTGGTCAGGTAAACCTTGCACGAGGAGGTGCAAGACAGATGGGGCATCGATGAGCTGTGTCAGCGGCGATGAATTTGGGTAAGTCAGGTGTGACGTGCATCACCTTCGTGCCAGCGGCCGGCGGGCAGCCGCCGGGGCACTGAGCAAATTTGGGAAGAGGAAGAGCTTTTTTTCCGAAGGTGCAAGGGCCTGCAAGGGTTCAGTCTGTGCCAAAGACGGGCCGCAGAGGCCTTGCCTCTTGGTGAACACCTCGGACTGCTCTGCGACTATCATTGACTGCACCTACGGCCCGCCCAGTGGGGCCGGGACCCCGGGAGAATGCGAGAGCTCAGAGCCTTGGGAGAGCTGGGCGCAGGTCCTCAACAACCTCGCAGTGAGACACCGGGTCCGGGTGGCGCACGCAGCCCAAAAAGTGCACGGAAGGGCCACCTTAAGACTTGAAGGCTGAGCACTGAGTGCGACCGAGGCATGAGCTTCTGCCACTGAAGAACTGCTTTTCTCCCTCCGGTCCAGGCCAGGGCCAAAGGGGCGGCTTTTGCCATGCGCATGCGCCCATTGTGCTGCCAGGCTACCTGATCTCAGGTTCCGAGAACAAAGACGTCCTGTACTAAGAGAGAGAGAGAGAGAGAGAGAGAGTCCACCAAGTGTTGATTCCTCTGCTCCGTGCCGCATCTGTATGTCATCTCTACGGCTTGCATCTTTCCACATATCGGGGGAATCAACAGAGTGTGACCTGCATGTGTCCTGGAGAATATACAGTCGCCTAACACCGTTATCGTACAATATATGGCATAAGCTTCAAGGTGACTTATATTCGTCTTTCACTCCTCTTCGCCCAACTAAACATGTTGGGTGGGCAATATGCCCGGGGGACTTAACCGTCCCCTATGCCCAGGAGAGAGAGTGCAAAATTACAGTCACCGATTCAGTCAGTGAGAGCAACCTACAGCGAGATCAATCACTTTCCCCGGTCACACACTCTCGAGCAATCCTTTG